AACGCACAATTTGCGTAAACGATGAGAGTTATGTTTCATCGAGGATTTTGTTGCATACATCATGGCGCCCTGGGGGTTCTCTCTAGAGGAGGAACAAACAGTACTCGACACGACCAAGCTTCGCTGTTGATATGGCGGCTATGAATATGGATGCATGGCATCGTGGCCACGGTGCACAAGGCGTTTATGATCTAGATACCATTTGCTTTTATGCAAGGCATGCATACCCCCTGCTGGAGTTGGCGGAATCGCGTACGCGCACCGCTTGTGTTTGGCTAAACATGCTTTGTTTGTTATTTCCATTAGGAACTGAAATACTAGAATGACTAGATATATCGGTTGTGTCTGCTAGACCGACCTAAACTTCTTCTCACACTTGAATACTCTTGTCATACCCAGTGTCTCTTGTCGTATACCAGTGGTAAAGGTAATCTCATTCCTACAACGCCCGCTATGCCTCGGCCGCGATGAAATCGCCTTAAGTCGGCAGCCACCACATTGTGACAGTGTTCTGCACCGCCGGAGAAAACCAGATTAAGATCTACGCAAAGCACCTCAAGATCCTCTCGCCTCGGTTAGAATAACTCTTTCAGTCTCTCAACCACGGCAACAACCGTCTCGCATGGCATGGCGCATTTGAAAGTTAAGTTTTCGGAAACTTCAGGAGCTAATCAAACCATGGCTAAATATCTATGCCGAGGTACCCTGAATTGCAAAAAACCTTATACCCTTTCGCTTCCTTTACATCACTCGAATCCTTGGCAAAATGTGAACAGACAAATAGGTAGACTTTCAAAAAAAGACCCGATTTTGCTGGGTATTACAGAGAGGGGGAGAAATGCGCTGGGTTATGCTTATGTTGTTGTGTAGAGTATAGCAATAATGCCAAATCGCTTGTATCGAACATTCGGCCTCTGCTTTTGTCCAGGTACAGCGAATATATTGGACACACTCACACGGGAGTAGAGCTGCTATGGGGATGCCTTTGCCGGTCCTGCAGGATTCTTTGTGGTTGCATATGGATGGCGATCTTTTGTCCGACACGTGTCGAGCGTGCCCGAGGTACTGCACAGTATGTTGATCATCTGTGCCGGCGTAAAAGTCGCTTGCGCAAGGTATCCTCGGTTCAGTTTGATAGCGAGATGGACTTGGTCGGTTGTGAGGTTGGTGATCACCTCGTGACATACAGTAATAACCGAAATCTTGGTTCTGTGGATCGGGAATTGGAGATGGCAGTGTTTGTCTCTACTTGCTTGTTCTGGAAGGTTGGCAATCAGACGCTGCGCTTAGATGGTAGAATATGGCTGTTTTATATTTTGTACAGACTATGTCAGTAGTCATGGACCTGTCTCGATTCCCCTTCCCAACCCACCTCGGGCCAGCCTTCGGGCAGAGAGGAATAAGGTGGTAGATCGTATCGACCTCTGCAAGCATCCTTTCTACATTCCAAATCACACAGCCCGTACAGATTACAGTAACAATCTGCAGCATTTGGGCAAAAGACCGATTCCTTGCCGAAAATGACTGCGCGACGTAGAGTAAGCTTCTCGAGTCTGAAAGATTGGTCTGGGGTTTGAAAGAAAACTCACTATGCCATGCGTACTCGAGCACTCTACCCGACAAGTCATCGCGGATATCAGTCTCAATGATCCAGCGCCGATACCGCTCATAGTCAGCCTTCGACCTGCCTTGAATCGCTTCTTTAGAGGCAGCGAATTGCGCGCAGCAGGCCGTGCCCACCGTGCGAGGAACCACGACGCCTGGGAACAGCTGTTCGAAACTCTCTCTGTAGACCTCGCCAGCTTTGGGCGGGACGCTGGATCTGCCTGCGTCGATGTAGGGGCGGATTTCTTCGGGACATCCCAGGATCCAGGCGCAGCGGAGACTGGCGTAGCCTTGGGTAAGGATGTGAGTCGTGTTTAGGCGCGATAAGGTGCGTTGGCCGTCGTAGTCTGGATCGTCGTTGTGCCATTGGTAGCGCTCTGCGTGGATGAAAATGGTCACGTCTTCTAGGATGTGGTAATGGGCTATGATGTAGCTTTACACCTATGTCAGTGATCGATATTTGGTTGAGAGGGAGAAGATACATACGTCAGATAGACCATTGCTTCTCTTCCTTTATTGACTGGAACGGTTAATCGAGCCGTGGCATCATCGACTACGTATATTTCTTTCCGCCACCCTGTAAATCCCTCTCTTAACCAAGTCGTGTTGTCCTTTGTTTGACTCGCAACGACTAGAGCGGCTTCATAATGCTGTGAATCTTCTTCAAGTCCTTCCTCATTTTCTGTACTTGACAAGAACCCATTTCCATCTAAACGCAAAGGCAAGCAGAAGAAGAAGAGCGTCACAATAACCAACCCAAGCAAAATCCTCACAGTCTTCTTGTTCAAGACCGTCGTCGAGTGCAAAACTCGCATCGCTTTAGACGTCGACTGTAACCGAAAAGCAACACAAAGACCAAAAGAACGTACAGTATTTACAATAATGACTAGATAGTATAATTCATCAAACACCTTTCTATCTTTTCTACATCCCAAAGCAATAATTTGCTGTAACGAGTATAAGCAGACGAGATTATTCAAAAATGACTGATGTACTGTATGTCCTTGTAACAAGTATGTGGGGTTAAGCCGTGAGCCGTGCATCCGTATATTTCACTCTATCTCAAACGTACGTACGTCTTCCGATTTCTAATTGTAGCTAACTACTTGTTCGCCACCTTTTACGTCTCCTCTCGGCATAACCGGTGGTTTCGAATTCGCTAATAATAATGAAACCCACTCCGATGATTCTCCGGTGTGGGGATGACAGCTTTGCTCTACTCTACTCTACTCACGACTCGTAAGATGTCATTGCGATGCCCCAAAACCCATGAGTCAGTTTCTCTTGTTTTGAGATCCTGGTCGTGCAGTCCGTCCCTGGAAAGGTCTGCTACTACTGAACGATCGGTGACTTTGTATTATCAGCTGATCGTCTCGAATGTAAGGTAGGCATGTGATGGTGGCAGATCTGGATAAGTGATTCAGAGGGTGATCTGGACAAGGACTTTGAGGGTAAGTGTCAATGTGGTTCTTGCTAATGGTGTTTCTTTTGTGGTACTGTGATCTCTATGCGAGGGTGGTTTGTGTTGGGCAGATTTTATGAATATAGTGTATTCTTGAGGGTGGATGAGTGGTATGCAAAGCTATCTGCGCTATACGACTGCAGGAAGTTGTGTTTGTGTGAGAGAGCAGGATTGGTATGGTACATGATTGATTGTTTTGAGACACGAGGCACATCGATCTCATCACCAAAGGTCAGCTATACCAAAACCAACATCATCGACTCAAGCCTCAACAGCGTCCTTGAACTCCTTCTTCCAAGCCTCCTCACCCCTCGTAGGTTTCCAGCCTAACTTCTCCCTCCCAACAACACTCTTAGTCCTCGAATTACTCGTCAAAGCAAGCTCCATCAACGTAAGCTGCCCCGCAGCAAACGGCACAACATCAGCCGCCTCCTGCAAACCAACCTCCTTGACCTCCTTACTCTCGATCTTACCAGCCACAAACGCCGCCTCAGCAAGCTTCTCAGCAACACCCTTCCAGCCCTCGCGACCATTAGCAGAGAAGATAATCCCCTCCTTGCCAACAGGAACATCCTCGCCCGATTTCTCCAGAATGTTGAAGAGAGCCAGTGTGTACAGTTCCGCCAGATCCTCAACATGAACGTGATCCCACACGCCCTCGCCATTGCCAACAACGAAACCATATCCACCCTTCAGCGTGGCAGCCACCAGACTTGGAATCTGAATCGAGAACTTGTTGAAGGCGCCCGAGCCCTTGCCGTAGATCAGCGGAGACATGATAACCAGAGTCCTGACACCCGTCTCCAATCCCGCATCGATAACGCCCAACTCATTCGTGCGTTGAGGGTAGGGATCGCGCGCATTTCGCTCCTTCTCATAGCCGTAGATGTCGTCTTTGCTATCGTCGAACTCACGCGCTGGATCCGCTTCGAGGTAGTGTTTCGTGATAGGTTGATCGGCTAGATTCGATGTGCCGGATGTGTGAATCATCCATACATCCTTGCCAGTCTGCTTTTTGCGTGCTGCTAGGCCTTGGACTAGAGCCGCGGCTGACGAGGCGTGGTAGCCGTTCGTTGTGTTGATCACGATGTCGTGCTCGCTTGCTACTGCGACGGCGGGGTCCGTGTCGTCGAGATCTTTGTAGAGGACTGGGTTCACTCGGTCACCATACGTCGCCTTTAGAGTCGCGACGCGGTCTTCGCCGCGGACCAGAGTGGTGATTGTGGCATTTTTCAATGCTGGATGAGTCGAGTTGATGATATGAGTCAAGATGCTGCCACCAATGTAGCCAGTAGCTCCTGTGAGAAGGATTTTTGGTGATGAAGACATTGTGAGTACGTATTGCTTTAACTTGATTTTATGCAGATGGATTGGAAAGTGAGGAAGAGGAAATTGGATCCATTCAATACCTCGAAGACGGTGTGGGTATTTGTACCTATGCTAAGACTTTGTAGGTTCCTGACGTGGAATACAACAGAATCGCTATCAGTTACGAGTATATAACGTAGAGATTACTAACGCAGCATGCACAGTTTCTGATTACGACATTGGTTTCTCCCGCTTCATCCCCGAAAGCAGCTCGGCCTAAGGTGCCTTTGTCACCGGACGTATTGATATATCAGCAATCCAGGAGAACTTATTGTGTCTTTCCAGGACATCAGCCGGTCGCATAATTGCTTCCATTGCCAGAAGTGTCGATGTATTAGCAATGTGAAGGACCGATGTGGAAGCGAAGCACGAACCAGGCCGAATTATATCCACCGTATGCCCGCAAACGCCGTGCAAATCCATCAATCTCCGCATCCAACTCTTGGAAGCAGAGGTACAACCAATATGCAGTAAAAAAAATTTATAAGTCTTTGCATAGTCATGCGGATATGGATGGTAGAAGAAAACGTTTCGATTTTGGAGTCTGGAACAAGTGCAAAAGAGTAGGTCGTACCCGGGCTCGAACCGGGGATTGCAGAAGATTGAACAATCCGATATTCGGAAGTCTTCAAAATCTGCCGTGCTAACCGCTACACTATACAACCGTATTGTTATCTGCTTGATGAGAGAAGTCAAGCTCTGTAGATATATATAGTTTTTGCATTGAGATAGTTCAGCTGAATCTGGGACCTATTCAGCATCGTCGTTCGTATGCGGACTGCGATGTCTTCCACCTCGCCTCTTCTGAGCAGGACCTAGAAGAGGCGGCCACCACCAGGCTCGACGCGTTAAGCAGCGCCATTCGAGAAGCGAAAGCAAAACATGGAGAAAACCTCCCCATTGTGATAGGAGGCGACTTTAATCGCCACAACCCAGTATAGGGAAGAGTCAACGTGCCACAATCACAACATGTAGAAGAAGGTGAACTAGTGCTCCAGTGGATGCACTAACACAACACCTTCTTAGCGCTACTAAGCGGCACGGTCACGTTCCTATAGGGACGCTTCGGAACTACTATCGACCTTATGCTAGTGTCCAACTCAATGGAAGACCAGGTCACAGAATGCAGTATCCACCCGACCTAACACGGGTCGGACCATAAAGCTATAACACTTCAAATCAAAGAGGTCAAAACAGTCGCTCCGCTAGAGGCCAAGTACAACTTTAGGAAGACGAACTGGGACACAGCTATTAAAGCACTCGAAGGATGGAGACTGTCAGTTGTTAACATTGATAATACCATTAAGCTCGACTAAGCAGTTATAGAGATCCAGGACATAGTGAGTCAATGCATTTACGACTATAGCCTAATAGTTAAGGAATCCCTATATGTATGAAATTATAATAGGATAATAAACTTACTAAGCTTTGTAATAAATATATTTAATAACTAAATTAGAATAATATATTACAAATTATAAAGCTAAATAGGGAAGAAAGTTGTTACAAAGCTAGGTAAGCTAAGTACTAGTTTTATAAAGGCATTTATAACAAAAAGCGACTATATTAAAACAATTTCTTAGTATAGATAAACAACATCTGGAAAGCAGCTAGGTATCTTAACTTAAAACTATTAGCATTTAGCAATATCCCTATTATAGTTATTAGCATTAAAGGCTAAAAAGTAAAGCTTAAAAATAATAAGGCTAAAGCAACTAAGCTACTTTAATACTTTTTTTTACTAGTTTTTAAAAATTAGAAAAAGGATACGCTGAACCTTAATATAAAATATATAAACAATCTGGATATCTCTATTAAAAAGGTAATTAGAGCAACAACCAAGATTAGCCTATATAAAGCGCTAGGCATAGATAGCATTTTAAACATTATATAAAAACGCTTATAATTTATTTTGAATAATTAAGTTATTAATATTTTCAATACGTTATATTAATTAGAATATGTATTAACTATATAAAAAATAGCGTAAATCTTATTATTATAAAAGCTAGAGAAACCTAATTACTATATAGTAAAAGCATACTGCTTTATCTTCTTTCTAGCTATTCTAAATAAGCTAATAAAACTTATATTAATAAAAAGAATGTTATATTAAGCTGAGATTTTTAACCTTCTCTTAGAAATACAATTTGGCGCTAAGCTAAGATAATTATATAACTAAGCGTTGCTCCTTTTAATTGAGAAAATCTTTAAAGCATAATAATAGAAGAAAGTTCTTTCCCTTATTAGCTTTAATATAAAGGGAGTATATAATAGTGTCCCTTAGTAAATGCTTATTAGTCAGCTACGTATAGAAGGAATCCTAACCTATATAGTAGTATAGGTTGACTCCTTCTGTATTAATCAATTAGCTATAGTATTAGTAAACAGTATAAAATCAAATTAAGTCACTTTTACAAAATTAGGTTTCTTATAAAAATTAACATTTGCTTTAATACTATATATCTTCTTTAACGCTTTTCTAATAAAAGAGAAGATTAATAGGAAACAAAGCAATATAGGGTTTATAAATAACTATATTTAATAAGCTATTTTGGAATTAGCAAAAAGGAATATATTAATATTTAATAACAAAGTTATCTTAAAGGCTTTCTAATAGGCAAGAGATAGTAGCGCTATATTTAAAAGCAATAAAACAATTTTTATATATTTTATACAAAATTATAGAAAGATTAGTAACTTTGACTTTCTGCTAAGGGTAGGCAACCACATTGTTAAACCTTTTATAAGAAAGAGAATCCTAGGAGTTATCTTTAACGCTAAGCTAAGGTTTAAGAACTATTTAGCAAAAGTCAAAATAAAAGGATAGAGAAGCGCTAATTAATTTAAATACCTCTTTTATATTAATCTACAATTAGCATAATAACTATATTAAGCTATAATAGCTTTAAAAACAAACTATATAGCTATAGTATAGTACTCTAAGTCCTTTAAAGGAAAGATTGACAATAGCACAGCTAAGATTCTTAATTATATATAGAATAGGAGCTTAAGTAGTTATTAAGTGTTTTTATATAACCTTAATTAAAGCGTCTAATGCTAAAGCCTTATTTCCCCTTTTGCATATTTAGCTAAAATTAAAGATTAGCAAATTCTAAATAGGACTCTATATACTGCTAGAAACTAACTTATTAAAAGTACAGCTTAGAAAACTGGTTAAGAAACTTAGAGCAAAGTTGTTCACCTCTCCTCTCTATAATATAGAGATACAATTAGGAAAAATAGGGATAAAGATAGAAGTCATCTTAGTATAGGTTGCCTTACTATAGGGTATAATATTAGGCAACTACGAATCCAAACACAATTCTGACAAGGCATACAAAAACTACTTTAGAACAAAGGATCAACATCTGAATATCTTTGCTAATAGCTCTGTTACTAATAGCTAAGCAGAAGTTAGAATAGCAGTGTACTCTAAGAAGCCTATATTAATATCTACCCTTTCTTAAAGAGTCAAATTAGGAGGCAGTATTAACAGCACAACAATAGAACTAATTATAATTAAAGAAGCAGTAACCTTACTTAGGATCCTATTAGAAATATTATATAGCTATAGGAGGCCAATCCCCTAAGTATCAGTATAGTCCAATAGCTAAACAGCTATTTGCATAGTCAATTGCTAGGCATATCAGAATAGAGCAGTAATAGTATAAAGCATCCTATATACAGTTAATTATTATACAATCCTTAAAGGACAATTAGCTATTTAATAAATTCTAAAAAAGGTTACAATTATAAAACACGTTAAATTAGACTGACTAGCTAAACAGGCTATAAGCCTTTATACTATAGGACTAGTTATAAGAGAAACAGTCCTAGATAATATGAAATAAGTGTGGAACACCCTTAGAGACAAGATTCTACCTAAGGAACAATAGAGACTATAGAATACTAGTAAGAGCCTTTGTATAATAGATAGCGCTATTCCTAGCAAACATACTGCATTACTTTATAATAAGTTAAATAAGAAAGAGGCATCTATCTTAGCATAACTTCATATAGGACATACATAGCTAAATAAGTTCCTAGTAGTTATTAAAGTTATAGATTCAAATTAATGCAAATACAAATAGGGAAAGGAGACAGTCTGACATTTTATATTACTATGTCCTAGATATAAGACTTAAAAGCAAAAACTGGTAAAGATACTAAGCCCTAAGTTTAGTAATATCTTTTAAATAATAGGGGAGCGTAACTCCTATATAGTAATAGAACAACTTTATAAAAATAGACTAGCAGACTAATAGAGAGTAAATATAAATACAGTCTGTGTAACTATTAGATATACAATAGATATAGAGAAACTAGATTTTGCAAAGGAGCATAGGAAGCTGGAAAATAAAGCTAAGCAGAACAACTAGAAGAGTAAGACAAGGGACAGTAAAAGGGAGTTAGAAGGTGAGGCTGAGGATTAATAAAAAAAAATATATATATATATATATCAGACACAGCATTTACTATAGAATACTTAAATAAAATAGGTATATAAGCATTTTAACAGTTTAAGCTGCAGAATAAGATATAGACCTTATATATAGATTTGTAATTAGCTAGCAGTAGATAGTAGTTGCTTATGCTTCCAGTAGTAAGCGTATAGTATATAAAATAATCAATTAATTAATCAATCAGTATACGCTTTGCAATTAGCTTAAAGGATATTGATATTTTTTATTGATATTCATTAACTAATTGACACTATCATTTACATGCCAACTCGACAAATTGGACTATCCAACTCCTGTCAATTTTAGTTAAGGGAAAGGGTTCCGCCTAGCTATTCCTAGCAATATTGTTGTTATAGTTGCTCTTACTCTATTTTTATAAAGAGTAAGAGCTGCAATAACTGTTTAAAAAAGAATTAAAACTACTAAATAAAGTAATAAGTTAATTAAACCTATTTGCTTGCTTAATTCAATTTATTGTTCCTTTTATTAAAAATATTAAGCGACTTTTCAAAAAAGTAATAAAAGAATAGTTTAAGCTATTTTGTAATTAAAATAAAACACTTTATTAAAAAAATATTACGTTACTTATAAAATTTAAACTTTTATATATAGAGACTAAAGAACTTAAAAAGGAGCTTAAAGCTATAAATACTAAATTTAAAATTATTAATATTAATTTAAAAGCTCTTAATACTAAGATTAAAACTATAAAAGCAGTTAAGAAGTGAGCAGTGAGTTGTCTTATAAGTCGACTTATAGAGTCAATCGCTAGCAGACTACTATTAATACAAAGTGTACAAGAACTAGATGTCCTAAAGGATACGTATATGTATTGAAAGAGTATAACAATAATTACAGTAGTATTGAAAATAATTAATTATAGATATAAATCCAGTTTCCTTTCAGGTTTTAATTTTATAACTTGTATCCGACTTGTAACATAACTTGTGTCTAAGTTGTAGCCTTGAGTTGCAACCCAATATGGCTGCAACAGCTGACATATCTTAACATTATATATAATTAAAGGAAAATTCATAAAATAAATCCCTTTTTATAAATAGATAACTATATTATTAAGCCTTTAATAAAAAAGAGAATTTTAAAAGTTATTTTTAATTTAAAGCTATAGTTTAAAAACTATTCAATTAAAGTAAAAGCTAGAGAGTAAAAAACTGCTAGTTAATTAAAACGCTTTATTT